TTATGCAGAATTTGCAAATTATAGGGCTGGACATGTAGCCTGCATATCATCGGATGGCTGCAGGACCCTGCCACATGACACCTCACAGCCAGCCTCACAGCCCCATCCCCTCAGCCCACCACTCAGTCAGGATCAGTGGAGGGCTGGAGTGGGCTCTCTTGGACTGGCTCAACAATGAGTGACAAATCCAGGAAAACAGAAACGAAATTATCCATTGACTTTTCTCTGTGTGGGACCTTAATATTCCCTTCAACTATGATGAGGCCCTCTGACAAGAAGAACAGAGGCAGCAAAACATTCCCCAGCCACCCTGAAGTGAGCTTGAGGAGCATCTCATCCTCCAGAGCCAGGCCAGGAGAGCTGCCAAGCATGATCGCCAGCATAGGGAGCAGCAGTGAGAAATTGAGAGGGACCAACTGGCCAGAGCCAACATATCCAACTGGTATGGACTTCGACCCAAGGTCACATCAGTACTCACTCTAGTCTATGCCAACCACTTGCTCTCTACCCTGGTCTTCAGAGAGCCAAGCATCACCAACTCTGACCCATGAGCACCAGAGTGTTGGATCAATGCAGAAGTCCTCATAGCCAATGAAGCCAGGAGAAGCAGAGTCTCTTCTCCAGCTAGAGACAATGTCTCAGGAACCACCCCATACTCTCTAACCCCACAATATCCCCCTCTCTGACAAACCCCCAGTATTGACACCACATTCAGAGATGACAAGTCCATCCTCAGACACTATAGATTATGAGTCCCTGGTACCATCCACATCCCCACCCACACTCTCTGAGGATTCCTCAGGAGTCAAGTGGTCAGGCAACTCCTTGACAACAGGTACAGAAGAAATGTCCAGCTCTATCATGAGCAAGTGGTGGCAGTGTGAGCAACAGGAGGAAATTAGTATGACTCTGATATCAGAAGTCAGCTGGCTTCCACTTATCTCAATGCCTCAGACTTTTCAGGCCCCATGGCTAGACCTAGTACCCAGTCAGGACAGTGGATTTACAGCATGACCACAAGGGGGCACAGAGAGTTTCTACAACCCACCCACTGCTTCCCTCCTTAGAGAAGAAGAGGATGACAAGGACAGGGAGGATGAGAGAACTGAAAGCAGTGGTTCACCTTGTCTTGGTGGAGAACTGGCCTATGGACTTCAAGAAGACATGGATGAAGAAGAATTGGAAAGAGTGATACAGGAGGCATGAGCACAGGAGTATCAAGAATTCTACCTGTGGGGGGTAAACTTTCTATGGCATGACACTACCTGGGTAGCATCACAAATGGGACAGTTATATGTTCAATCAACACCTAATGAAAGAACAGAAATCCTAAGGCATGCAGCAAC